CCCAGCAGAGGGGAGGGTGGGAGTACGTTTGCTGAGGAACGCTGTCTGCCTCCACATCCTCCAGCCATGGGGGATGGGGAGTGGCTACGTTGAAACTGAAGCTTTTCTTTCTCTGGTTTCAAAGGGCACAGGCTGGTCTTTTATCCCCCAGCCCAACCCCACCCCAAAGGACCAGAGTGTCCAATTCAGCTGCTCTATCCCACTCCAACATTTTGTGTGTGCTCAATTGGCCATGAAACTTTAAAACATGAGGCTGGAGAGAAAAAAAAAAGTGTTTATCGGGCTTCCCTGGTGGCGCAGTGGTTGAGAATCTGCCTGCCAACAGCAGGGGACGCGGGTTCGAGCCCTGGTCTGGGAGGATCCCACATGCCGCCGAGCAGCTAGGCCCGTGAGCCACAACTGCTGAGCCTGCGCGTCTGGAGCCTGTGCTCCGCAACAAGAGAGGCCGCGACAGTGAGAGGCCCGCGCACCGCGATGAAGAGTGGCCCCCGCTCGCCGCAACTAGGGAAAGCCCTCGCGCAGAAACGAAGACCCAACACAGCCAAAAATAAATGAATAAATAAATAAATAAATATTTTAAAAAATAAGTGTTTGAATCTCTGTGCCTGTGATGCTCGAGGCCTTCAAAAGCACATGAGCCCTCTTGGCCTGGTCTATAGTGAGTCCCTGTCTGAACCCAACCCCTGGCCCAGAATTTCTTGGGGGTGCATGTGACATTGGGGGGGGGGGTCTCAGGATCTGTGCTAACGAAGCTCCAGGGTGATTATAATGCACATGCGGTGTTAATAATCACTGCTAAAAATGGGGGAGGCATTTCTGTTTAGTTATTGTTTTTCAGCAGAGGAGAGATGCCAGGTGACTGGTATTTCAGAAAGTAAAGTGGAACAGAATGCTAGCTGAATGGGACGGCCGTGAAGCAGTGGGAGAGCCGTATGGAGCCACCATATAGAGCAAACGAGATGAGGGCCTCGGGGGAGCAGAGGCCAAGGGCTGGGTGGTGGCGGAGGAGCTGGATTGGGCAGGGCTATGGGAGAGCACATCAAGTGCTGGCTGGTCAGAGGGAGACGTGGAGTGGTGGATGACTCTAAAGTTTCCGGCCTGGTATGAGATGAACTGTGTCCCCCAAACAGATACGTTGAAGTCCTCATTCCCGGTACCTGTGAGTGTGACCTTGTTTGGAAAGGGGGTCTTTGCAGATGTAATCAAGACGAGGTCATGGGGGTGGGCCCTAAGCCAATATGGCTGGTGTCCTGATTAGAAGAGAAGAGGCACACAGGGAGGACAGCCACGCGATGACAGAGGCAGAGACTGAAGAGGCACAGCTACAAGCCAAGGGACCCCAAGGATGGCCGGCGCCACCAGAAGCCAGCAAAGAGGCAAGAAAGGACCCGCCTCCATAGGTTTCAGGGAGAGCTTGGCCCCGTCGACACCTTGGTTTTGAACTTCTAGCCTCCGGAACCAAGAGACAATACATTAGTGTGTTTGAGAGCATCCAGTTGGTGAGAGTTTGTTGCAGCGGTCTCAGGAAACAGCTCCATAAGCTGTAACAGCCGCCAATGGCGTTGGCTCTCTCTGAACCGGCCAATCAGCGAAGGCGAGCCTTTCTCATGATCAGCACCAGAACTGGGGACGTCCCCCCGCAACATGCACCTCCCGCCCGTGAGAAACCGAGCCCCAGGTTCGGTATCCCTCTTCATCAACGAGCTGTTTAAAAACAAACTATTGGGGCTCCCTGGTGGCGCAGTGCTTGAGGATCCGCCTGCCGATGCAGGGGACACGGGTTCGAGCCCTGGTCTGGGAGGATCCCACATGCCACGGAGCGGCTGGGCCCTTGAGCCACAGCTACTGAGCCTGCGCGTCTGCAGCCTGTGCTCCGCAACGGGAGAGGCCGCGACAGTGAGAGGCCCGCGCACCGCGACGAAGAGTGGCCCCCGCTCGCCGCAACTAGGGAAAGCCCTCGCGCAGAAACGAAGACCCAACACAGCCAAAAATAAAAAAATATTAAAAAAACCAAAACAAAACAAACTATTAATTCGCTATGGGTCCCAGTGATCTACTATCCCAGAAGGCATAAACAGAAGGTATTCATTTACTACAGGTTTCAATTGCCTACTATGTAAGAAGGCAGTTTCCAAAACTGAAGTCAGAAGTTTTTATGTTCAGTATTCCCATTCTCGTACTGACAATATGCTAATTTGATTTTGAAGGTATGTTTGGTAGTATTTTAAGGTATTATCTTTAATCTATCGTAGTCAAAATTATTCAGAAAAACCTATAGGAGACTTCGTCTCTACAAGGCACATTTTTCGGAGAGGAAATCGTTGCAGCAATGAACTGCCAAAGGGACAGCTGAAAAAAATGGGTCATGCATTCATCTCACTCTGGGACGTGAGCTGCCTAGGGTTCACTGCTCATTTTTGTCCTCTTCCCGTAAACAAACTGCGTTAACAGGTTACTTTAAAATAGCATACTAATCTCCCCAGTGAATTACACAGGAAAGAATTCGGCGTTCCCTCCACAGAACTCAAATAGTTGTTTGTTCTCAGAGCTCAGGTGTGGTAAAATAGCTGTGGGCTAAAAATGCACGCTGGATATTGGCCAGCAGGCTAGAACCCTCCCTCCGCTCCAGCTCTGATTTCTCACATGGGCGTGCAACTCGTAGCTTGCTTAATGGAAGAAGAAAAAAGGACTTGATTTTCAATTTCAATTTAATTACACAATCTGTAGTGCCTAGTGGGAAGGATTTCGGGGCAAGATTAACGCTCACCAGTGCTCTATTTTACATGCCTTTCTGATAAAGAACACTATTGATTATCCAAAGTGAGTATACAGAAATGTTTTTCAACAGCCAGATTCTTTGGGTGGCAGAAGGGGAGTGCAGATCAAGAGGTACAAACTTCCAGTGATAAAGCAAATAAGTCCTGGGGCCGTAATGGACAGCATGGTGACTATAGTCAATCTTAGCGTATTGCATATTTGAAAGTTACTAAGACAGTAAATCTTAAAGGTCCTCATGACGAGGAAAACAAATGTTTTGCAACTTTGGATGGTGACAGACGGTAACTAGACTTACTATGGAGATCATTTCACAGTGTACAGAAATATGGAATCATTATGTTGATTCTAATATAATGTTATATGTCAATTATACCTCAATTAAAAAAAGAAATTAAAAAGGAAGGGACTTCACTTTGTGACTCTTTGCCAGACTTTAGATAAATTAGAAGAGTGTAAGATGCCTCGTAGAGTTGTATTCCCGGCACATTTTTGAGAGTGGGGAGTGCCTCCCTACGTGGAAGAAGAAAAGATAGAAATTCTACTGTAAAATTAGAAATACAGCTGGCAGACACTGATTGAACAATACAACTATCTGTTCTGAGAATGACCATGTAACTAATACACTTAAGACCCTTACCTCTTAAGCTAAAGTCCAAAGAATTTCGCTGTCTTACTGGGACTGGAAACCATTATGATTTTATCTGGCACCAAATCAACGTTTCAGAGTATAAGTAAATATCTGGTGTGTTTCTATTTTGGTGTCTACCTACTCTATTAGTTTAGCCAAGGGTAAAAAGAAGGAAAATACAGGAAATGAAAATCTGCCCCAGAGAAGTGGTCTTTATTTCTTGACCAACTGCTTTACCTTGTTAAGTTAATAAAGAAAACAGTTCTCTTTATGAGGAAAGGTATTCCCTCTGTGACTTAAATCAATAAAAATGGTAGCAATAAACATTACTGGTTAACTGTTGCTCAGCCTTACCGAGCTACTTGAGTATATACAAATAGTTGAAATACAGTGTTAAACAGACAAAGTTCAAAAGGCAAATAAACTCTCTGAAACGACTAATTGACTTCAACATTGCACAGGGGTGGCATTTTCAAGTATTAAGATGGCTGCTACAAAGAGTCAATACAGTATTTACAATTCTGTTCAAAAGAAAAATGGTACCCGATAAGCCTTAAGTTTTGCCTACTGAATTTGCAATATAGTATATTAGCCAAATGAATGAACCATTTTTTAAGCTCGATGAATTACAGGGCATCTGGCACAGATTAGGTAGAGCTAGAACTTACTTTGGTTGGAATGACAATGAGGACCAGAATCGGAATTTATTTTGAAGCCCATTAGGAGAAGATGTTGACAAATGTATCCTTGACTGGTATAAATGTAGACGCACCATTCTTCCCCTTGGCAAGGGTGAGTTATAATTTAGGCCAGAGGAGAACAACAGCAACAAAAGACTTGGAGATTCTGGTCTATGAATGAAAGCTGTGCATATTTTGCCATAGGCCAGTGTCTGCATTCCCTGGGTCTAGTGACACAGGCAGCACTGGGAGAAACTGCAGCTCAGCTGGCCCGTGGGAAGAGGGTGGGATGGTGCAAGACAGGCCGAACTTGGTTTGGATGTGTGGCTACATGTCTCAAACCCCTTAAACCGTTGTACAGAATGACTCCATCTACTGGTAAATATAAAAAATGAATCAAGAAATAGTGAGGCAGGCAGGAAGACACTGGCTAAATGTGGGTAGAAATCAGAGACCAGAATGGAAAATCCACTTGTACGTTTCCACTGCTAAGGGTTTAGCTCTTAACTTGTCTGGGAGGGAGTGACTGGGCGAATTAGAACTTGGGAAAATCACAAAGGAGAGTCACCTTAGTTAAGGGAGAAGCAGATAAAAGTATCTATTTGCAGCCATGATAGAATCAAAGAGAGATCATGATACGCTCCGAGGGATGCTTATGTCAGAACTGGCAGAGCCCACTTCTCACTGTTTCCCACCCTTGGGGAGGATGGTGAGGAGGGAAGGAATGAGGTGAGGGAGACAAGGAAAGTGTATGATCGTTTACAGAGGATCGGTTTATTTGTTCTCAGAACCAATAACACGCGTATTGCTCATACCCAAGAACTAGCAATGCCCCCCCTTCTAAATATTTACAAATAATTAATAATTTTTAAAGCAAAATTCTACATTGCAGTTTATGAGAAGTGAGGAAATACCTGGTTGGTGATATGGTCCTGGATTTTTTCTCTGGTCACTGAAAGAGAGAGCAAAAAAGAAATTCAACATGAAAGTATGAAAAGGAATAAAACACTGTACTGATCTCGCTCTGTTCTCACTCAAAACTCCAAAAGAACTCTCCAAGCAAGAATGTGTATCACAATAGGGACATTTATAATCACTCCAATAATTGGGATGAAGAAAAAAGTCAAAACCGAAATAAACCACATTAGGCAAAGATAACAGAAAATGGAGTGGAAATCCGGGAAGGGTGATACCAGAGAATGTACTAAACTTTGGCAGAGAAATGGTAAAGAGATGAAAGGACCAAAGAAAGATTTGAACCACAGCCAGTCAAGTCAAAGGTTTACAAACAATGACAACCTGTTCAAGCATAATATTAACACTGAACTCAATGAACCTTGAGGACCAGGCGAGGAGATTTAAAGTGGTGGATGGCAGAGGTGCTACTTTTCTCTGACCTATGAAGATGATAAAGACGTTCTTATGTTTTGGTACTGGCAGGGACTAAAGTACAAACCAGCAGTCCTATGAATGGTATCTTGGTCAGGACAGAAACAAATCAGAGTAACATAACATATGAAAAGCAACACAGGGGTATGAATAATAAAGACTCTAAAATAATAAACCTCAGTCATTGCGAAAATAGCCTAAAAGTGATCAATATCATGTGTCTTACATACAAGGGAAAAAAATCCTTAGGAATAATAAGTAACCAACAAACCATCAGGAAAGAGAGGAAAGAAGACATTTTGTGGCCCTGCAGTTATTTCGTGCTTGTGAACATCTTGGTGTGATACGTACACTTTATTAAATGTGTCCTTTTAAAATTTTAATTAGGATGATTGTGTAGTGACATGCATTTATAAGAAATAATACAGACAGATCCCCTGTACCCTTTACACGGGTAACATCTGGAAGATCTATAGTACAATAATATCACAACCAGGATATCGACATTGACATAGTTGAGATACGGAACATTTCCATCACCACAAGCGTCCCTCACGTTGCTCTTTTATAGTCACATCCATTGTCCTCCCGCCTCCACCCTCTTCTTAACTCCTGGCAACCACTAATCTGTTCTCCATTGCTATCGTTTTGTCATTTCAAGAATGTTGTGTAAATGGAATCATGCATTCTATAACCTTTTGGGATAGGATTTTCTCACTCACCATAATTCTCTGGAGAGTCATCCAGGTCTCTATGTGCATTCCTGTGCGTTTCTACCTTTTTATTGCTGAGTAGTATTCCATGGTAAGGATATACCAAAGTTTGTTTGGTCATTCACCTGCTAGTCATTCACCTGCTAGGACATATGGCTAGTTTCTAGCTATTGTGGATAAAGCTGTTATCAATATGTATGTACAGGTTTTTATGTGAACGTAAGTCTTCATTTCTCTGGGATAAATACCCAGGAGTGCAATTGCTGGGTTGTATGGCAGTTGCATGTTTTGTTGTTTAAGAAACTGTCAAAACTGTTTTCAAAAAAAAAGATTTGTAATGAATAAGTGATATTTACCCGTCAGCTGAGCAACTAATAATGAGTATATCTGGAAATTTTACTAAGTGTTCAGTACCAGGTTAAGTGTTACATGGGATGCAATAGAAGAATAAGGAGTCCAGAGGATGGAATGGCTCTGTTGAGTGGGATCTTAAATCTAGTCACTGTCATGAAATACCAGGGGCCAGTCTTGGAGTTTCTAGATAATAAGAACCAATTTTCTTCATTTTTTTTTTTTAACTGTACTGCCCAATCGGACTCTCTTGATACGTTTTAATATTTAGATTTCCCTTGTCAGATAATATGCAGAGTGTTTAAAGAAGACTGTTTAATGGTTTGTGGGAAAAAAACTTGCCTTTTGAATTAAATCACCAGTATGGCCAAGAAGAGGGGGAAGAACATTCAGGAAGGAGAGAGCCAGCAGGTCCAAAGCACAGAAAGGAAGCCAGCATGGCCGGAGGAAAGTAAGGGGAGGCCAGCGTGGTGTGAAATGAGGCAAGAAACATAGAACCATGGTCATGTAGACCGTTTGGGGAAGATTTATGATCTTCCCCAAAGTAGAGGAAAGTCAGTTATTAAGGGGGTGTAGCCCAGGATGTGAGTAGGGGCACTGGAATGCCTTGGTCAGGCGTGCATTTTCAGAGGACCACTCAGGGCTGGTTGCTACCTGGGGAATAGACTGGAGGTGACGTCAGGGGCAGCAGTAGCACAAAATCTTAGTTCTGTTTCCTTAGGAACCAAGGGAAATCTGAAGGAATTCAAGTGAAAAATAAGAGCCCAAACAATCAAATAATCATAACCTAATCACACAGCAGCCCACTGGAGTCTAGAAAACGGAGTAGGTGACAACCTGGCATCTAACTTACAGCTCTGTCATTTACTAGACGCTTGATTCAGGGCCAGCTACTCAACGTTCTGGTCCTGTTTGGCCATCTATAACAAAGAGTTAACAGTATTTACCCCTCTCCAGATTTGTGAAGATTAAATGAGTATGAATTTTGCAGGCAAAGGGTGAGGGAAGGGCATCCCAGGGGGTTGGGACAGGAAGAGTAAAGTCTCAGAGGCAAGGAGAGGATGTGTCTGGGTAAATTGTGAGACATTCTGAGCGGCTTGTATAGTATAAGCATACATAGCACCGCAGGTGGGAAGGAAGGGTGTGGGAAGAAGATGAGAGGCCAGCTTTGGGAAAGATGACTTGAGAGGTGGGGTGGAGGATGGATTGATGGGGTAGAAGAGGACGTGAGAGCAGCTACGAATCTGCTCCTCGGAAAAATGCCCACACACAGCAAAATGGGACAATGCAGGAGGCTAGGAGACCTCTGCAGCCATGCACTGATTTGCAAGGATCTTCAGTTTCAAGTCTTTTTTGAACAGCAGGCCCCAACACATGCAATAAAAATTTCTCAGATTCCAGCTCCTCTGGACCATTTTTTGTCCCTCACAACTAGACTCATCAGCTGTTCAGGCATTTCCCTAACTTAATGAACTGAAAGTATGAGTTCAATGTCTAATATATTTATTCTAAAAGAATATGATCCCTTCAAGATGGCAGATACCTCCTGAATGCTGGGTGTGCAAAGACGCACACAGCAGGGCACCCACCCTCAAGGTCAAGGTCAAGTGGGAGGGAGAGAGAGAGGTAAGTAGAGATAAGTGGCAACAGTGCATTTTAAGTGTTTTAACAGAGTTTTATGAATGACACCGTGTGAGAACACAAATGAAGACCAACCGGTGTGGCTGATCTTGGGGAACAAATAGGTTTCCAGGAGAAATGTTGCCAACAACCACTCTTATCCTCCCTTTTGGCTTATGCAGAAATATGTCACGAACAACCAAGGACCACCCATTTTTAAAAAATATTGATTGATTGATTGATTTGGCTGCTTTGGGTCTTAGTTGCAGCACGCGGGATCTTCTTTGTGGCATGTGGGATCTTTCATTGTGGCAGGCGGGCTCTTTGTTGTGGCACACGGGCTTCTCTAGTTGCGGCACGTGGGCTTCACTCTAATTGTGGTGTGTGGGCTCTAGAGCACGTGGGCTGAGTAGTTGCGGCATGCGGGATCTTAGTTCCCCGACCAGGGTTCGAACCTGTGTCCCCTGCATTGGAAGGTGGATTCTTAACCACTGTACCACCAGGGAAGTCCCAAGGACCACACTTCTTATTGATTTTTTATTGGCCTTTTACTTCATGGAGTTTAAGAATATCTTCTGGATATAGGCATGTTTGAACAAATTCTTAGAGAGAGGATGAATACAAGAGCTTAAAAAAAAAAAAAAAGATGAGATAGGACCTATCCTTGGGATGTAGGAATCGGAATAATGAGCAGGTGGAATTTGAATCAGATCTTCAGAAATGGCTAGAATTTGGAAGGCATCATGAGAATGACAGCTCTGACTAGAGGAGAGGGTCTTGGGAGAAATACTGTTGCCCAGGGTGACCTGGAAACAAGTCAATTGCCTTATGTTTGCAACAGTAGACAATCTGGGGGCAATGACGGTTTCTTCAGCAGAGGTGGAATATGAAGGAAAATTAAACTGGTGAATACATTGGACAGAGTAGGGAGAGCAATTGGAGAATACATAGGGGGCTTTGATGGGTGGGTAAACTAGGTGATGGATTGGGGCCTAGACCAGGGAGGTCGAAACGGGAAGGAAGAGAGAGAGAGAGAAAGAGAGAGAGAGAGAGAGAGAGCGAGGAAAATCAAAGGAGCGCATGGAAGAAATGTTTGAGAGAAATTGGTAACAAATGGATAAGGGGAATAAAGATTGGAAAGAGTCATATCTGGCTCATTTAGTCACTTAATCAACAAATATCTGATCAGCTACCATATGTCACATATGGATACTAAGCTCTGGGGATTCAACCGTGACCATCCCTGGCTGCTCCCAAAGAGCTTGCTGGCTTGGTTCCCTGCTTTTCTGACATTGTCTACTTCTGGACTATAGTCTACTTTTAGCCTTATCCATTCTGTAGCGATGCTCAAGCTGTTTTGAAGGTACCGCATGTGAAATCTTAAGACAAGGAAACGAAGGTGAGGTTACGAATCTCTTCCTCTTTCTTGGAGTGCACATACACCCATTGTATTTCTGTGTATTTCGTACGGTAATTTGATATTCTACAGCTGCCAGATTCTGGAATATCACATCTCCCCTCCTCTCCATTAAAGCGTATTTTAGGAAGGAACATGACAATTTGGGGAAGAGGACCAATATGGTGATCTGTAACAGGGCAGATCTGGCAATTTGGTGAACTAGGGCCCTGTCTTTATCTTGCAAAAGAGCACAGACCTGTAAACATTGCTTATGCAAAGGCTCAGGGACCAGGAATAGTTCAAGGGAGCCAAAGACGGGAGCAGGGGAGAGGTTTCAGAGCAGTCCCTGGGCAGGAGGGACTCAGTGTCTTCAGAATCTATGTACAAGTCATGCCGTCTCTTTAGAGCCACTGCCTTGTTGCAGCCCATCAACAGCTCTCCCCTGGATGGTGACATCAGCCTTTTGCTGGTCC